GGATGGATGGATGGATAAACCTAATTTCCCTCTGGGATCAATAAAGTATTTTTGAATTTGAATTGAATTGAATATGTTAGCTTGAAGAATTAAACTGAACATTGTGCTGTAAGAGTTTGTCTTGTTGGATATGGAGGACTAGGTAAACTCATTCAGGGTAAACACACAGATCAAGCGCCACACAACGGCAACAAATCCAATTATGAATGTATTTGGGACGATGTGTGTTCCACAAACAAAGTTAGAATTTGACAGACGCCAGTATTACTCTATAACATGGTTAAGCATCTTTCCCCCAGACATCAACAGCACTTAATTTCTATTGCCTTTTCCTGCCTCTTTATTGAATAAAATAAAACATGTACTGGGGGCTTTGCTTCAGACAGAAACCAGACAGGTTTTAAAATGGGAACATGAACACAACATGTATTTAATGAAGTTTAAAAATCAGGACCTAGTTCATCTGCCTAAATAATCAAACCCTGATTGTTTCATGACCTTCACTGGATCTTGTTCTGCAACTGCAAAAAGATAAACAGCGTGTAAAGGTGGATAGGAAATCAAAACTAAGTCGAAACAACAGGATGTTTATCCAGCACAAGTGATGAGTTTGTTGCCTTCCTGCATCCAGTTTTCTCCTTGGAGCTTTTAATCACATGGCGACAAACCCGCTCATTGTTCCTGCAGCTCTCGTGGCTGAGCATCACAGTCCTCTGAGAAACCTCTATGGCTCTAATTAGAGAGATTTATGCAGAAGATACAGAGAGAATTATCTGGAGCAGAGGAGAAAAGATGAAAGACAGCGAGGTAGAGGTGTCCCTTGATGTGTGATGAACGGCTTTTATTAGGAGTTTTCCAGTGCTGCTATTCTTTTTTCAGCAGAAAATGAGTTTTGATCCTAAATATTTTTCAAGCAACTTCAGAAAGTGACTTAATTTTCAGTTAATTCAGCCGTGACCTTTGAAGTAATACTTTAAGAACCTCTGAAATCATTCCAAATACTATCTGTTAACAGGAAATAATTTCTGCCCATATCCTGGCCACATCATTTCTTAATGAGCTGACAGTGGTTCACACTGAAACAACACAAGACTCAGTGTTGAGGATTCTGCCCGGGCGGGTAGTTTGTGCCCAATAATGAATTTTCCGGATGTTTCAACGTTAACAGTTTTTGCTGTACAACTCATCAGTGTGTCTGCTGCTTTTTTACATTAACCCCAAATGCAAATTCAAGAAATGTGTGAAAAGAATTGTTTGAATCATCAGCAGTTACATAAGACAGGATTTATTTTTATTGCTCTTGATTTTAACCAGACAGAAGGGTTTTATTAACTTCCATCCTTAAGCTGATAGTTTAAATGAGGAAGCCAGACATTTCTGTCTGTCCTTATTAGACCATTAAAACCCTAATGCCATGTAAAAATATATAACTTCTACTTGGAATTAATGGCAACAGCAGAATAGAAAATAAGCAGGCTGGGGGAATGGGGTGGGGCTGAATGGGCCACAAGTCCATCTCAAGACAGTCCTTCACACTTTCACTCACACAACAATTTACAGTTAGCAAATAACCTAACACGCATGCTTTTTGTCTGTTGGAGGACACTGGATTGCCCAGAGAAAACCCATGTGTGCACGGGGAGAACACACAAACTCCATGCATGTCAGCTGGTTGATGGTCCAAATATAAAAGCATACAGATTGTATGTTCTCTCATGCTCTTCCTTCTTTTATGTCTCCCCTCTCTCAAATTAAAGTCACTAATGGCCACAGAAATATTCAGAAATCATTTGTTTATGTCAGTTTTTAAACTTTTAATTTCTCTGTCAAAAGAATCTTTTGGATCCAGAACCAGCCAGAATATATCCAACAAGATGACAAAAAAAATCCCACACAGCAGCAATAAAAAATATTTCCTGCCCACTTCCTGTCAGACGTACTGACAAACAAAGCACTCAGCYTCTGCAATCAGAGTAATCAAGTGTGAAAATAGGCATCAGAAGGGAAGATAATGACACAAACATGGCGGCACCAGTGCAGGTCAAGCAGCTCATTACTGTGTGAAGTGTTCTGGTCACTCCTGCCTTACATCAAACTGATGGGTTTTTCTGACGGTTTTACATTCTGCAGAAACATTATTCCATCAAGCCGAATCACAACCTGGTAAAACATGAGTTGAATTTCTTCAGTTTGGACAAATCTTTTTGAGCTGAAAGGAGCCTTGAAAGTCAGGAGAACCACAGAAAACTCTAAAAAGATAAAAGTGACGGGAAATTCCCAAGTGCTGCCTTGCACTCTGTGGTTGAAAAAATGTGAAAAAATAAAGAAAATTCTTTCACCAGGGTTGCATGTGCAGAACTTTCACTGTGTGGTTTGATTGCTGCTGATGTGTTCAGTTTTTTGTTTCTGGTTTTGCAGAAACAGTCTGTGATGAAAACTTATTTTCTAATTGTGTATTGATTACTTGGCAGTGGAAATGAGGATTTTCAGTTTGACTGAGTACCAGTGATTGGCATATTGAAAAATATGTTCGTTTTCTTGGCACTAGAATGCACCGTAGAAACATTAAACAATAACACATCTTTGGTGTAGAACAGGGCTATTCAACTGGTGGCCTGTGGGCCAAATCCAGCCCGCAAGTGACCAAAGTTCGACCCGCCAATTGGTTCATTAGTCTCTTAAGCTCAAAACCCTCAGGTTTTTACTTTAATTACTATAAGTTCTTTTATTTATASACATGTGTGGTATCTACAGAAATGTTAGAATCTTGGCTAGAAGCTGGTAAAAACCATTTCTACGAACATCTGAAAAACTACAAGCAGTTGAAGATCAAACTATAAAAGTGAAAATAAAATTGGTTTAAAATTTTGGCAAGTCAGAGATATTAAAATAATATTTGTGTTAAATAGGAGGCGTAGTGTGTCTTTGATATTGTTTTATTATCACTACTTTTATTACATAGGGTTCTGTATGTTGTATTCATGATTAAATGCAGCAAAAATAAACTATTTCAAAGTTAACAGATCTTTGTAATACTTCATTTATTTACATAATGACTTTAATTGCTGGATGTTCGGCCCCTKWGCTGTTGGCCTGCAGTAACTGTGGCCCCCYGAGCAATTTTWGTTTAATAGCCCTGGTGTAGAATTTTGTTAAGATAAAAACTCCAACTTAGCCATTTATTTGTAAAGTTTTCAAATTTAAATGTAGAGAAAGMTCAGGAGGTTTCGAAAAGGAAACCGGATTTCTACAGAAATATTTGTTGTCTTTTTAAGTCAGTAACATAAAAGATAAGTTATTTTCTTCTTTAGTGCCAGCTGCCACTTATCCAGTCAACATATTTAAGCCCGACATATTTTCTAAATCCTATAATTTCTCATTTCAAAATGTATTCAAAAAGAGGCGTTTGTCCTATCTGGTGCACTAAAATGTGGATAGAAAAAAAGTCATGATTAAAGAGCTTAAATCTAGTTTCTACAGGTGATTTAATGTAGTTTTTCCAATGGAACATACTCAAAAAAATTATCAGGTAACAAGCTTCTTTAGACAAAGAATATGAACAGTACCCTGATGTTTTTCTATTGGGAGAGTGTTTTTTACTATTCACTGAGATATAAAAAGTGTTTTATATGTTCTCATTAATTTTTCAGAGAATTAAGAAAACTGTAAATCAGCACATCTGTATGAGCCGCTTTCTGCTGCAGGCCAGAACATTTATCAAATCTAGGAGTGATTAATGATAACTGAGGACTTCACTGTTGGATATTTTAAACCAAAGAAATGAAACATTTTGACTTTGGTATGAATTTATTACTGGGTGCAAGTCTGACAATTATACCTCACTAACACTTTTTACTTGCGTCATCAGATTTCACACATGGATGTGTCACTGAAAGGCACAAAATTAAGCTTAATTTTTCATTTGCATGGTGCCATCTGTGAAATGTGGTAGCATGAAAGGAAATGCACAGATGTAAATTGACCTTGAAGGAATGAAAAACAATAAAGCTTTCTGTATAGTACTGTTTCTTTTACTGAGCAAGCAAGATTGCTGAATGAATGAAATATGATGCGAAAGCATTATTATTATTTTAACTTCACCACTTTATCTTTGAAAGAGCTAAGCAGTTTGTTCTCTCCTCTCTGAGTTGCTTTCTTGGAGAGAAAGAAAACCACAGAAGAAGAGATTGAACCTTCTGATGTTTGTACAGCTAATCTGGTGAATTCTCTCCCCACAGAGAAGAACCGCTGTGCAGCCACTGCTTCTTTGTGAACGTGTGCATCAGCGAGATACTCTTTCTTCATTTTCTTGATTTCTGTGAATGCATGGATTGCAATTTGCAAAAGAGTGAGGATATTTTTTAGACCTCTCCACAGACACTCATGTAGGGCTAACTTCACCTGCTTACCTAAAACAATAAAAAACTTCCCTGTCTTAAAAATATATAATTTAATGTTTATATTWTTTTAGTAACCCAGCAATTAGTCTTAAAATATAGCTCATCTTTTCCAAATTACTGAATAAATTATGAGCTGGTTGTCTGGGTTGATTTATTTTCCCAACATGGCTTCTAATTTTCTCGTTTTTTTCCGTAATTACATAAAAACTGATATCTCCACAATCTTAGGATCAAAACAAAGTCCACCCAGATTTTAACTGTATCTTATAGCAACCGTGAGCCAATGGCATCAAAGCAAGAGGGGGAAACCATGGTGATGGGCTTTCAATCAGAGGAAAGAGTCAGCAGCGTTGGTACTGCACTTGAAATGGTTAGAGCAGAGACCGGTTTGACAACGTGAGGCCTTAAGCTCAGTAGTGATCGGATTTAATTGTTATCTCAAAATGATATCTAATCTTCTACAAATAAAAAGGTTGCATCAGTCGCAGGGTCCGGTAAAAAAAAAAAATCCATGTGGAACACACTGACGCAAATGTGTAAAGAACTTTTAGACTGACAGTTAAAATTAGGTAGCTAAATTAATAAAATGAAAACTTGTGCAGACAGTAAGACACTCCAATTCAACTTGAAATCAAAGAGACATTTGAGCACAATAACTAAATAATATAACAATATAATAATAGGTTAAATTTGCTAACATTTTATGTAGCTGAAGTTCAGCGAAACTGTTTCTCTGCAGTTGAAGCTATAAATAAATCCAAATTCGCAACTCTTTTCCCACTGAATACATCACGAAAATAAAACATTTCTTCAACACTAAATACTTGGATCTTCTCACTTCACTGTTTCTTCTATCAGTCTGATCTAACYGTCAGAAACTCACAACTGAAAAGGCACAAAATGAGCCGCTGCTCCGGTACCCCGTTAGTTCATGCGTGCTCCTGAATGCGGTACGATACCTGTACGGAATCCAGTCGGAGGAGTGCTTGGAGCTCATTCTGTATCAAGTGCAGGGCTAACGGCCTGCAACAGCACCAGCACAAGAGGCTACGAGGTCTGAGGACGGCAGTCACAGCCAGAGAGCTCACATCGCCTGTTCATCGTTTGCCCACAGCTCTGGATTCCCAGTGTGCCTTTGGATGTCCTCTAACTGGGAAGCAGCAGAKGACCCAACGATCCACTCAGCCTTGCGTGCTGAGCACATGAAATAGCCGTTTCTTCTCGTCCATGTGTACGCTTCCAGTCAATGCCTCTCCTCTTCTCCTCTCCCATCCACTGCCTCTGCTTCTCCTCTGCGCTGGCTCCCTTCCCTCYCTCTCACTCTGTAGCTTCTGTATGAATCTCCCTCCGTTTCTTTCCCTTTAAATCCCCCCTCCCGTTCTCTCAGTCCAAATCTCGATCTCTGCCTCTTTGCCCGATCTCACTCTCGTTATCTGTCTTGCAGCATCACCTGCAGCAGCAGTTAGAGTAAAGGGTAAAGAAAAAATAGAGGAAATGAAAGAATGCCCTCTGCTTTTGGKTCTCTGAAGCTCCTTTAATGCTATTTCTGCACAATGCCACCCACTCATTTAGGTGCTACCCTCCACACACCACTTCTCTCTGCATCTTTTCCTGCACACTTCWCTGCATTGCACGAAAGCATGTCTCAGACGTGTTTTCTGGGTCATAARAGATTTATTCGCTCAGAAGAGACATTAGCATATGAGAGTGCAGACTAGTGCCAACAGCCTTTAATTCAACACTTTCCACAGTCAGACAAAGAGACTCTGTGATAGTGCCACAGCTCTGAAGCTCTCTCACACACATCTGCTTCCGCCCTCCCTGTGTCCCCACAAACACACACACCGCTTTACTGTGCTCTCAGGGTTATTCAGAAGTCCGTCTATAGACAGTTAAACCCAGCAGCTTCCTTGTAACAATTTACAAGGAGTCAATTCATGCAACTTCTGTCAAAACCAGGAGGAATCTTAATTCGAGGCGTGGGATCTGATCTGTGAAATCACCACCATTGGTCCTGAAAATGTATTTCTAATAGGTACAGGTGTGATAAGCATCCCGTTCCCGGCTCACTGCAGAAATATCTTCAGGGAGCTGTAGAAATCTTTTTGTTCGCTGTATTGTTGCACCAGTTCCTGAGTTAAACTGAGGATTTTTGCTCAGCTGCACTGTTCTGACATGGTTTCAAGTATAGCCACACACAWACTCACAGATAATGGCTGAGGCATTTGTTACGTGCCAAGACTTTTATTGTGTTGGTCATTAAACCAAGGTCAGAACAAGAGTCATGTGCTGATCATTAAACAAAGAAAAAAGTTGCAATGCATCGTTCAGTTTTGTGCAAAGAGAAGACCTCATTAGAGCAACCATTTAGGTGCAATCAAGCGTCTTTCCTTAATCAGTTGTTGCATCTTTAAAAACAAGAACRGGTTGCTCAGTCTGATGTTTGGCTGCCAAAACAAACAGGCAAAGAAATAAAACAAGCAGGCAATAAAACTGGAGCCGAGCGCTACTGTGGCCATTTCAATGTGTTTATAGGTGAACATAGATTTTAACTGCACAATCAAACACATTTCAGCCGTATATCCAGAATGAACTGCTAGGGTTGTTAACAAAGAATCCTATCTTTTAACTAATTCTCTACTTGCATTATTATAACATTGATCTTTCATGTAACTGCATAAAAAACTCAACTCTCCTCTTAGAGCACTGATGTCCAACCCTGTACGATGTGATTGATAACTATTAATTGTTTGTTGTTAACGAGTTATTAACACTATGAGGAGGCTGTGGTGTAGTGGTATTTTTGTGTTATTTTGTGGGTCAAAAGCTGAAAAGTTTGGGAACCACTGCACTTCAGAAATCAATTTAAAGGGTAATAAAATAATTGGTGATGTAATATTTTCCTATAATTATTACAAAAATGCAAAATAAGTATAAATATGAATTTATATTTGTGTAGCCTTTGTTTTTAGTATTATTAACAAAGTTTGTGTACTCAGACCAGTAATATTTGGGGACACAAGTTTTTGCCATGAATATTTTGTGGGTCAGAAGATAAAATGTTTAGGAACCATTGATCTAGAGGAGAATGAAGACAAAGTTGTAGTTGGTAAGTCCAGAACGCATTTGGAAATTCAGTCATAAATACTGTGATGTAATAGGTCAGAAACTGTCAGAAAACAGAGAAAACTGAACCGGTCGAAAAATATGACCCAAACAGAAAATAAAAATATCTACGCAGCACCAGGAGAGACTAACATCAACTTTTCTGCACTCCTAGAGACTCCAAGTACACAACAAAATATATTTAATGGTTAAAAAAGTGGATTTTCCATGATATGTCTTTAATACTACTGTCAATCTTTAGTTGTGAATAAGTTGATGTGATGAAGCGAAGCAGCTTCACTGAGGAGCAGATGTTCCTCCTTTCTTTTTGCTCCCGTGGCCTTAACAGCCCACATGCAACAACAGAAAATAAGATCCTTTTAACAAATTTGATTTTCCACAATTTGTCCACTGTTCTCCTCGAGGCATTTTACTGTTTGAAACAGGAACAAGCAGGATCAGTAATTATAACAATGGTTCTGCCGTACAAGGCCCACTGATATGAAAACGYATATCTGCCTTYTGTCTGCCTCTTACATGACTGAAAKAGCTGCAGAGCACACAGGCCTAACAGTCTGACAAGTGACACGTGTACCAACAAATGGCTTCTGTCTTTGTTTCAGTTAAAAGAAATGTTTTATAGTCTCCTCATAGATCAGTCAAAAACTATTGTTGCACACGTACAGGATATTTACAACTGCATGCACTGCAGTGATTTGTTCATTCACCTATTCCTGTCATGTCAAATGCGCTCCCTCATTTGGAAAACCAGACAAACACTGGCACAGCTTTATGATGCACACACAGATTGAAAGATTGCTCCTTGCTCTGGAATTGCTCTGTGACTTATGACTTACAAAGGTGGATATGAGACATTTTAATGACAGTGAATTAATAAAGCAGAAACAGCTACAGAAATTGATTTGTTCGTAGCAGCAAAAAGTGACTTCTCTCTAAAGAGAACAAAAAGAAGTGTTTTACTAGTGTTATACATATTAAACATCAATCTTTTACTATTTTATTAGAATAATTGTTAAATAACTAACTAGGTGTGCCAAACAAGTCTCACTGTAAATATATGTAACAGCGGGAGCAGACACTAATGTGGCAAAGATGGGAAAAAATGGGCAGGAAAAGTGAGCCGGTGATAACAAAGAGGGTAATAATAAAACCCAGGTATGAAACTGTGACAAGGAGAAATCCAATGTAAAAAATAAGGAATACTTCAAAAATTAAAGCAGGGAATGAGCAAATTCTAAACTGAACACAAAATAATAATAATAATAAGCTGTGGGTGTTTCCCTTCATAAATGAACAAAATCCTCAAATATTAAAAGCTGGAGAAATCATTTGGACAATCATAAAACGCTCAGACAGTTGGGACTGGATCGAAGACCGAGACAAACAGATCCCTCATTTTCTTCTTGAAGCAGCGTTATGGTGCAATTGGCAACACATTATAAATTATGTGTGCTATTTTCATGCAGAAAAAAAAGCTAAATCTCTGCTGGATTTGGAAACTTTAATTTTATTTTATTTTTTTACTAATTCATCCTTGAAACAAGGGCTTTGCATCAGGACACAGCTAAGAAGTGAGTCACTGACTGGATCWTTAAGACATCACGTCACTCACAGGAGCTGCTGCGCTTCACAGAAAATGGACTAAAGCCAGAGATCCTGCTGAAAGAATCATGCCTGCATGGGGATTTAGAGGATGGATGGTATTTAATAATGCGCTCCTGCTAAATTATGCATAAACACAAAACAGCTGAGAAACAGAGGGGTGAACTGGCTTCAGTGGATATCAGATGGTGCAACATCTTGTGAAGCAGTGAAACTTGATGTTGCACAGAAATAAAGGACTGTAAACTTACATGCTCTTGACTGTGTGATCGGCTTTGTTTTCATTACTTGCCATTTTTAACAACTACAAGAAAACAAACGTACATCTAAAATAAGCTACAATGTAGCCACAGCTGCCCTGAGATACACTGACTAGGGCAGGGCTTTCTGACCGCCATAGGCAGGCAAGTGTGTCTTGTCCAAGGACGCAACAAKAGAGACAGCTGGAATGCAGGATCGAACCAGTAACCCTCCAGTTAAAGGAAGACTCCCCTAACCACTCCACCACAGTCATCCCATTCAAATTTTGAAGACTGTTAACAGAGGTTTGTTTAAATTTCAGCAAAGACTTATCTATAATACACATCTAAAAAAGGGCAGATATCTATATTTTATGGCTGTTGCCAGTATTTTCTTATTTATGGAGAGGCAATAAATAAATAAATAAATAAATAAATAAATTTTACTTTATTATGTTGGGGTGTCTCCATACAGCTTTTTCACTTCTGATACTGCAGCCTTGAGTATTAGGATTTTACTAGATATTACTACTTTATTAATAAAAAAATAACATTTTACAAAATTGTTTTACCCTACCATTACGTGTTAAAATTTCACCACTTATAGCTCAAATAAAAAAAAAAAAACAGCTTTTCAATACAAAAAATTGGGAATTTTATGAAACCACTGCATTTACCTTTAGTGCCTGTGACATCAAATTTTTGTAAAACATATGAATGCATTTTTAGAACGACGACATTGATAAAATATTGCAAAAGAAATTTCATGTCGCTGAGATAAACAGTTGTTGAGAGATTTGCCTGTGCAGTAGCAGGAAGTGATGTCAAAGGGGAATGTCTGCATGTGAACAGAGCATTGCTACAACAGCCAACAACACAAACTGTAGAGAAGAATCTGATGTTTCTTAAGATTATTTTGAGTCACTATCAGAGAGATGAAGAAGAGTTAAAGTTCAAATAATATTGTTTCAATAAACAAAGACCAGAGAGTTTTCTTTGTTAAAGAGTTCCCCTTTGATGTCATTTCCTGTTTCACTTTGGTTGAGCCAAGTTCAAAAGAAAATATGCCAGTTATGGGACAAAATGGGTTAAATCGTGTGTATTATTCCAACTTTCTTGTATATAAAATATGTTTTCTTCAACTTTTTGTATTTGAAGAATATGTATGTCACAGGCACTTTAAAAGGCATGAGGAAGGCCAACACCCAGTTTACTCTGAAGATAGGGCAGCACGGTACTCAGTACTTAAGAGTTGTCGCCTTTCAGCAAGAAGGTCACACCGTCTCCTGATCTGGATCCTTAAAGTTTGTGTGTTCGCCCATGCACATGTGGGTTTTCTCAGGTTTCCTCTCACAGACTAAAAACACAAGTGGGCTAAGATGATG